CCATGAGGTCTTGGTGAAATTTACAATGTATTTTGCTGACAAACACCAATGAGGAACAGGGTGATGATACCATGTCACGTAGATACTCTGAATAACTGGATAACTTGCAGATGGGGTGTAGTGAGCTTCTAATAATTGCCTGTCAATACAGCTAGGCATGATATGATGATTTTAGGTTGATCCGTTTTGACTCTGCATGAATGCCACTTAAAGAGTAGCACATCAGTGGAGCTTGAAAAGATCAAGACGATCAGAATACAAAAACCAAATATTGGACAAGTTCAGTTCTATGTACACGTTATTATGTGCAATATAATTTGCAAGTCTAATTCTTCCACTTGCAGTATTTACAATTATTATTAAGTCATAAAAAGATCTGTTGTCAAACTTTATACATATGTACATCAACTTATACAGTGCTCCGAATCACTAGGAAGGTGGAAAACAATAAAGGTATATCGCAAAATAAACGCAGTATATTTCTAAGTTATGAACTCTTAATTCAAACAATTCAAAAAGGAGAATTGTGAAACGAAATAAATCACTGGTTTTAGTTTCTGATTATGCGCAACATAAAGTAGAACGCAATAGGCTTGGTACTTTTTATTTGCTTTTCCCACTAGTATAAAAAGACATTACTGTAACTATCAGTTTAAAAATATCAGCAACAACTTCAAATTTCAATTCTCAACAAAAGTGAAGATAATGTACACCCCTGCTTAGCACCTTTGAAAATTGAAAGGGGTCGGACATAAAACCATTAATTAGAACCCTTAATATAAGGAATAAAAACAGGGCCGAAACAGGTTCCAAAGCTTTAAAATGAAAATTCTAATTAACCCTTCAAAAGTTTTTTATTGATAAGGCATATCAATTTGTTTATGGCCGAAACCGCACTCCTATTTATCTTATTTGATTCAACTCGATTTTGCGCATTGCTCAATTTTAACAAAATGTAAGACAAATGCGTGCACGCGTGTGTGTGGAAGTGAATGTACTTTGTGTGCTATATCTTTGGACCTGATTATCGAATAGCACGCACGCACACACAAAATGCAATGCCCATGGCGTATGTGAGCGGGGTTATGATTGGCGATCAGCTTCTTCAATCCTAAAAGTACAGGTCTTAACAAGGTCTAATCAGAATACATAGATAGTTAGACCAGAACCTTCCCTAACAATGCTTTTTTTAGGAAGGCCATACGGTGGCACTGTTTGTATTTACGGCGAGTTGAAATGGTGCAGGTTTTACTGAAAACTATGATTTACACATAATCGTGTGAAATTCTGCTAAAACAACAATATATATCCTGAAAAGTACAGGCTTTCCTGTTAATATAAATTCAATATTTCTTATCAGTATGATGTACATGTAGAATATTATTGTCTGTCTTGTATTCTTTTAAGAAGTGAAAGCGTTGTTCCGTTTTTCAATGGTGTACAAAAAGAGACATCGAGGCACAGTTTTTGATGGCAACTCCCATAGCGGAAAATCAGGGACTGTGTGGGCGCTTGAAAAGGAGCGCTAACAAATTGATATGAAATGACCAAGGAATTAATACCCTTTGAACTTATCCGCTCCGTTCACAAGTACCCCCTCACCGGCAAAGGAAGTACAGTTGGGGGTGCGCGGCCACTGCGTGTACATAGAACAGAACCCCTGGTGTACATGTGTCACACACAAGGAACGGTGCGCGTCAACCAGCCAAATGTACCGCCCATGGGACGTCGTTGCTAAGTAAAAGGGCGCCCTCTTTTGGTAGCGCATGGAGCTCATATAGTCAACCAAATCTCTCAAAAGTCTGGCGTTATTGTGAATACTTCTGCCTTTTGATCCTGCAGGTCTGGAAAGGATTAATATTAAACAAAAGGGATAACTTTGCCCAGACGAAGGTAAATAGCTTTAGAGACAATCTTGTAATCTAGGTTGAGTAACCAAATTAGTCTTTCTTTGTGAGGATTAAGCTGATCTCCAGGTTTTTCAAGCAAAGTTATCATACTTCTGTGTTTGGAAGTTAGCGAGATGTTATCGTCAAAAGATCTATGATAGGCCTACTTAAGAAGATCTAGTCTGGGCCTAAAAGATCCCAAAATTGAACGTAGAATTCTTTGGGCAAGTCATCATCTCCCGGCATTTTATTAGTCTGCATACTTCATAAGTGGGAGAATCATGACAGTAGAGTTACTTATGTTTGCCCCTGAAACTAGGAATTATGTTTTCATCATTAAGAAAGAAGAAATTGTTCCCTGTGAATTGTCTCGGAAGACTGGGGGGGGGGGGGGGGGGGGGGGGGGGGCTCGTGCCATATTTTCAATGGGGAGCGCTGATAAAATCCTACAATCAGGCACACTATAGGCCTATTAACTAAAAGTGTACAAATGCACCCTTAATTCTCATTTAGGGAGAGACTGTTCCCCTGTACATCAAATTCTTACACTTTGATAGTGCATTGCTTTTTTTGTATGGAATTTTTTTGGGGGGGGGGTAGCCAAAATGTTGCCCCCCCAGCCCCCCCCCCCCTAAGAACCGCCACTTATGTTTGCTGTAAATTCAAATTTTAATTAATACTGAATTTGTATAGATCTATGATTTCATTCTATTACTTGTCAAGTGCCCAGAGTGAAACAACAGAGGTAAAACTCTATGAGGTAAAAACTCTGGAAAACCTTGTGGCCGATCCCTTATACATTAACTTTAATACTTACAAACTCCGAGTTTCTCCTCTTCTTTTAAATTAAAATATACGATGTATTGTGGTCATTATGAAAATTACTGACCTAGCGACGTGGTGAACACAGGCTAGAATGGCCATACTACAGCCACACACGCCCTTAATTTACTCGATTACGTCCTCAATGACATTCTATTCAAATTTAACCTATTCTTTATCATGATCACTCAAGCATCAAGCTTGTAAGTAACATACAGACATATTTTCATTCTACCTCGCTTCGCTCATACGCATGAAAAACAGTTAGGTTTTACAGAACGTTATAAAGGAAAAGGAGGACACAATATGTTCATATTCAGAATTTTATTATTATACATGATGGGGGCTGGCCTGCACACAGGCATGCAGGCTGAAATAACAAAGTATGCAAGGGGGAGAGATAATAGGGTCAATACATGTACCTCAAAAAAGGCGACGATCAGCAGCATCTTAACCGACTGGGCCATGCTGGTAGTCTCGCTTTCTTCTTTTTCGGGCTTCAGTGTCCTTAAAAACTTCTTCCTCCGCTGTTATATGATTTTCTGTTGATCTGGAGACAGGTTGCCTGTTCCTTTGTTTTGTCCATAAACGAGACGGTCATCCACCCTGCCTTGCTCGAGTCGGCGATCTTAATCTTGTTCTTGCGTCCTGCCAGCAGCTGCTCGGCACGTTGAATGGTATCGATGGCTTGGTCTGTATCGCCTTTAACGATAATTGCCGTCTTGATCTCATCAAGGGCAATTTGAAGTTTCACACAAAACTCAAATCGGGCCACGTTGCCTGGTTTTGTTAACTCTTTGGAGTCCAGTTTATTCTTGAGTTCCTGAATGGAGGTGGAGTCCTCTTTCGGTGCGGAGATAGCGTTAAACTTCTTGTCAAAATAATCTTTACATTTGTCGAAAATAAATGCCGACGGATCAGGATTCTTGGAGCGGTCTGCCTCTGTCGACATTACGCAAACTAAGCCAAACTATGTAAGTAAATACCGTAAGCAATGGAAGACGAATAAGGGTTGGATATACGGCGTGAGTGCCAGAACCTGAAGTGAGTATTCTACACAATGAATAGCATGCGTGACCTGTCTGGCAATCCGACTGGTCAATGGTGGACTTAACTTGGGCCGGCCGAGGATGTCTGTCTCACTGCGGAGTTTGTCACACCAGACGTTACACCCAAAAACCCTGGTTTAAAATTAAGTACAAATTGTCACCAGTAATGCATCTCCTACACAAGATTATTACATGCATCGTCCATAGCAGCTCAATATCATTTAACATACCATAAAATGCAAGGTACATTTTATACACAAAAACCCAAACAACTACCCAGCTAACACATTTACGTTGTGGCAACGTTGCCAGAATGTCAGGTTTTCGTTGCTGCAACGTGAGGAAAATGACGTTGCGGCAACGTAAAAATGTCGACTCGCGTGCGCGTTGCTACAACGTTATCACGCAACGTTACAATGACGTTTCCACAACGTAAACGCAACATACATCACAACTTTTTTTGGTCGTGATTGCACATGATTACCACCTTGACGCCACGTTATTTGCGCCCAAATTGACACATAACAGCAACTTCTACGCACGTTTCTACAACCTTTTGGCGACATGATTACCACTTGATTAGCACGTTACTGCAACCTAATTTGGGACGTCACTGCAACTTACTGGACACGTTGATGCAACTTATTGTACACGTTAAAGCAACGTATTAGACACGTTTAAGCAACTTTATGGGCACGTTACTGCAACTTAATGGGGACGTTACTGCAACTTTATGAGGACATTGCTGCAACTTTGTGGGCACGTTATTGCAGCTAAATGGGACGTTTCTGCAACTTTAAAGGCACGTTGCTGCAACATGGTGGCCACCTTACTGCAACCTACTGGGCATTTATGGGGAAATGTTTCTGAAAACGATAACAAAACAATTCAACATACATGTAATTCATGTTTCTCTAATTTTATTACAAAGAGTGTTCAGAAACAACAGCATGTAAAAACATTACTAAAATGCAATCACTAAAACGGTAAGTGTAATTAATACTCACTGCGATTATTTGGACACATCAATATGCACATATTACTACAGTGTCCATTTCGTGAATGGTATAAAATTAAAGTCTTTTACTTGAATCCACATTACGGAATTCACGCCTTAGTGACTGGGCTGAGCTCTAACGATCGGTTCATACTTCAAGTGAAAGCAAATTTTGAAATGTTGACATCGAAACCATTTGACTCAAAATTGCCCAGAGTTAAATGTGGTTCACTCTTTCCCCCCCCCCAATTTTTTAGCGTTGGCGTTAATGATTGCCGTAACTTCACAAAGTGAATTGCCGTAACTTCACAGAGTATGAACCGACCTTTTAACAAGACAATAACGTTGTTACTGAGCAATTAGAAGATAAAGGGTCTGGTCGCCAATAATATAGCCAGAGCCGGAATGCAAGGGCTATTATCGGCGACCTAGCCACTCACCGGTTTTACACAGTGCTATACGTAACGTACATTCCAGCAAAAGTATGGTTTCAAATAGTATTTGAACATTAGTGTTTTCAACTGTCCGTGATGAGAAATATAGTATAGGAAGGCGACTTTCACATCGAACAAATAAAATAGATCCGACAACTTTTAATGTACTGAATCACATGCTTTTTAAATCTGTCCTCTATCTAGATCCTTCATTTTCTTTCTCTCCCATGGAACATCTTCAAAAGAAAACTCAAAGGAATTGTTTTGGTCTTTTTGTAGCTACAGAGTCTATGAAAAAGAATAACACTTGAAAGGGACACTTGAATAGCGTTTGTTCGTGAATATATGCAGGGAACTCGCAAAAAACCTGCATTTTAAAATATTGACATTTCAACATGATTTTCTTTGAATACCTCCATGCAGATTGGCTAATTGCCCAATCTATGTTTTAGAGTAACATTCATTTAATGGAACCTTTAACAAAAGATTATCCTGATGTAGAAAAAAAAGTGGATTCCTTGTTCAGCAAGGTTGTCAATATGGCACTTCTCCAAAGACACGAATCTGACAAGAAAATAAGGAAAACAAAAAAAAAACAATGTATCAATTATTTAAACATTATGAACTTTTTAATGCTTGCTGCCTTAGGCTTAAAACACTCACTGCGTGTCACGCTGGCTCACCAGATGTGAAATTTAAAACTACATGTATATCCAGATAATGTCTGTCTTCTCAATACATGTACTTCAAGCAGAACTGTGCCTGTGTTTCTACATGTACAATCTGTAACCCACGAGAGACAGGGATAAAATAAATGAGCCTCTTGTTTCAAGTTGACCCTGAAGTCCAGGATATTTCTCAAATTTAAAGGGTAACCAAAAACCCTGGTTGAGAGTTAAGCGCCAGCCTGTTTTACGCATTTTTATGTAATCTAAACAACTTCATGTTCAAATGTATGTACGTAACGATCAAAATGTTGGTTCTTCCGCAAGTTTATGGTCTTGGTAGTCGGCATTGCATTAGGTCTATGGTGCTCGTTTCAGAAGTGTATTTAAGGTGTTTGTCGCTGATACCTTTTGACCAATCAATTTAGTGACTGCGATGGTTAGTTTCTTAATACACGTACCTTGAATCTTGGCCCTTCTGGATAACCAAGCACAATCGGCTGCCATTTCTAAAAATTCATGCGATGTCATGTCATGCAGGCACCTGAATATAATACAGAAAATATTTGATTACCAAAGAGCTCAAGCTTTTTTTAAGTAATTTAAATTTCACACGAAATAATTTCATTAAATGTTAAGAAGAACCGTCCAGTAGCAGTTTTGATATGCGCATAATTATTTTATGCGAATACACACTGGGTACACAGTGTTTATACGTCTGTGAAGGGCAAAACCTAATTTGATTCATAATTATTTTGATTAAAGATCCGTTGCCTACGCTACTTTCGAGTTTCACCCCGAAAGTTTATTTACTTTTTTTCAACTGCTATTTTCCTGCGAAATACAAGTTATTCATTTTTGAAAGACATCTAACGATAAAAATTATAAACTTCATTGCATTTTTTTCACAACATTGAAGTTAATACCTGCTAGAAAATTAATCAGCTCTCGCCAGGGAGGTTCACGCAAATTGTGTGGTTTTTTGGGGGTTATTTTTAGAGAGCATTGGGCACGCATCTTTTCTGGCGCATGACTCGACAAGAATGACTTTGTTAAGGCGGACGTGGTAGTATGAAAATTTTGAGTTGGAAGGATTTGGATATGCATGCATTGGGTTCACGTTCTTGAATGTTATAGTATAGATACATTTCATGAATACATAAATTTAATTAGTATAGGTGTCTGGTGAACGTCAGGTTATCTCTTAACAAATTTCGACCAAGGTGTATTTTCAACACATTTTAAAAGTTAATTTCACCATCTTACAGATATACATGTATAGAAGGTCAGTGTATGTTGAATTACTTACAGCAACAACCTTGAAGAGATGTATGGGGTGGTTTTCAAAATAATTAGAAACTTCCTCCCTCGAAGACTGCTGAAGTTAAAAGTTTAAACATGCCACATCCTGCAGCCAGTACACTGACGTATAGCATACCTGTATACTGCCTACCTGGAGAAAGAAACGATGTTTTTAAGGTTGAGAAATATATAAAACTAATCAAGTTTGAACACAGTGTAAATATGATGTCCCCGTGCTCCTCAACCCACATAATGTCTTATTTTCACGAAAAAAAGTCTACAAAATAATGACCCTTTTTAGAAAAGGCTTTTATAGTTCGCGTATTTTTCATTGATCTTGTAACAGTGCTGACCTGGCCCTGAACCCTACTCCGCACACTTTGGTCAAACTCCCATAAATCACGCCAAACCCTGGGAGCTATACGGCCCGAAAGCCCGGATTGAAACTGTTTACACTTGTTATGTACAAGCCAACGAAAGCCAGATGACCGTTTATACGTGTACGGTCCTGGTACGTGAACTTTAGGCCTGACCCTTGAGACTGAAATGCTAATGCGCGTTGCTATTACAACCGTACACTGTGTCTTTGAGCGGGAATTTTATAACGGACTGTTTATGCTCAAATTTGCGCTAGTTTTAGTTGAGAGAAAATCAACTCAGATCTATAAATTAAGAGATACCCCAGTGGCTCGGGTATCATGGGTATCTCAATACAATATTGTTACATTTTGATTAATTCATCAATTTGAAGAAAAAAAATACAAACATAGGCATATACTATAGTACACAAAACAAAAGTCTTCTCGATATAATGTATACACTTTTGCCATTTTGGCCATTTGCTAATATCTGTTTTATGTAAAATTATAACTATCGAACAAATAACGTTGTTAAAAAGGTCTAACATGTCGCACACGAATTCGAGTAAATCTGATCCACATGTATATTATTTCCTAGAAATATTACCAAGATTTTATTATTAAATTGAAAACCAGATGACTTGAACGTTTCTTTCAGTGTATGATCCTCCAAAACTGTTCGCATTGACGAGCCTCCAATCTCAATTGAGGCACATATTTTCACTCTTAATTAATCTACATTTATTCTGATCGAGTCTGAAGAACATTTTCAACATTTATTAAAACTTGAAAACAAAGATGATAGGCATAGGAAAATCTTCATTTTTTGACAGCGACTTTGTTCGAAAAGTTGTTTTACTTCAATTTGATCCTTTCATCAGATTTTTAGACAATGTGTTCGACACAAGAATGAAGTCAAGATACAGAAAATTTCATTCCTACCTTCTAAGAAATGCTGTAGTGAAAATAACTTGTTAGGCGACCATACTTCACATCAACTGGACGGCGAGTCGGCGACCGTTATAGTGAGCTGCTGCTGCTCGATTGCTGACTCGACTGAGCAGAGCAATTCAAATGAGCTATCACGCGGTCTGGACGTGGAATTTCTGCTGATGCGCATGCGCCATGGTAATATTTTCTTTGAGAACGGGAATCATATTTCTAGTAACGTTGGTGTGTGCAATAAAGTACATGTATACATTGAGTATTCAACAATGAATATGAGCGGGAAACAGTCACGCTATGACCACGATCTCATCCATCTTAGACCATTAGAAAAATATCTGGAAACATTATATTCCTACTACGACAAAACAAACATGATGATGTTCGAAATTTCATGAGTTACATTATTAATGCAAGGCGGCACCCAATTAATAATTATTATCAAATAAAACATCATTAATTAAAACATATTATGTTCACTTCACATTCAGTAGGCTAAATCGTAATCACAATGTTTTTGTCAACACCACAACAGCATGGATCGTAATAACGCACAGCATAATTGCAACTTAAATTCAGTGTCAAAACACTTTTATAAAACGTTACAGCAACGTGAGCTCTCAACATAGCAGCCATGCTGTGAAAATACCAAACTGCAATGTCACGACAACATGATATTTAATTACAACTTAACAACAACATTATGATGAGACTTTTATGCAACGTCATCATAACGTCATGAACACAGCAACGTGGTGTAAATTGTTATCTACAACGTCATGACAACGTGAGAATAACAACATACCAACAACGTTGTGAAAGTACCCACGTACAATGTTACAACAACGTCATGATTTTTACATCACCGCAACGTTTTGAAATACTAAACTACAACGTCGTGACAATGTGATTTTCACAACTGAAAAAAAACGTTATAAAATAACGTAGATGGAACGTTAACTCAACGTCATGATTATAACCTCACAGCAACGTTGTAAACATTCTAAATTACAACGTTCTGACAACGTAACATTGACAACTTAAAAACAACGTCATGAAAACACCTACATTTAACGTAACCACAACGTTATATTTACTACTTTATTGCAACGATTGTGAAACGACCACCATACAACGTCAATACAATGTCATATGATGACTTTCGTACAACGTTGTACAAATTACCAATATACAACATTTTTACAACCAACAATTATACAGTCAAACGTTGTGTCAACGTTGCTTGAATGTCATCGTGACACGTTACCAAATGACAACATTTTCACAACTTTGCACAACGTTGTGGCAACGTGATGTGTTAGCTGGGTAGTTATTGCCAAGGCACATTTACAATGTTTTACAACAGTTATACAAATGTCAATTTGCACTTTGAAATGTTACTTTGGAATCTGCAAAGCAATAATAGTACTTACAGGTTTTATGGCAAATAACCTGGTCTGTGTTTTATTGACGGTGACGAGGAGACGAGGACGGCCACAGCCTACCAACTCTGTGGGACTCATTCCCAACAGCGCAAACAAATTGCACACTCGGCTTATTAAGAACATACAACTCCCCAATGTGGGTACAAACTAACAAGCATAATATATACATGTAGTGTCCATCAGCGTAGCAAGGGGGGGGGGGGTATTTTACCCCCAATATTTGTGTGAAGACTGCCCTTTTCCATTCAAATGCCCTTTTTCACCAGTGCTTACCCCCTTCCTCATTTTGTTGTAAAGAGTGTCCTTTTTTGCAAAGTGCCCTTTTTTTCTGAACAAAAAAAATACGCTGTGAGATTTGAACCTGCAACCTTCCGATTCAGAGTCAGCAGTCCACACTACTCGACTACCACCATTTCACACCGTACACTAGTTTCGAAATTAACTATAAAGTTTTAGTTAACCTCAAAATTAATAAAATTTTGTAACTTAAAAATACTCTGTGGGATTTGAACCTGCAACCTTCCAATTCAGAGTCAGCAATCCACACTACTCGACTACCACCATTTCACACCATACACTAGTTTCGAAATTAAGTATGAAGTTTAAGTTGACTCAAAATTAATAAAATTTTGTAACTTAAAGATACGCTGTGGGATTTGAACCTGCAACCTTCCGATTCAGAGTCAGCAGTCCACACTACTCGACTACCACCATTTCACACCATACGATAGTTTCGAAATTAACTATAAAGTTTTAGTTAACCTCAAAATTAATAAAATTTTGTAACTTAAACATATGCTGTGGGATTTGAACCTGCAACCTTCCGATTCAGAGTCAGCAGTCCACACCTCTCGACTACCAACATTTCACACCATACACTATTTTCGAAATTAACTATGAAGTTTAAGTTAAACTCAAAATTAATAAAATTTCGTAACCTAAAAATACGCTGTGGGATTTGAACCTGCAACCTTCCGATTCAGAGTCAGCAGTCCACACCACTCAACTACCACCATTTCACACTGTACACTAGTTTCGAAATTAACTATGAAGTTTAAGTTGACTCAAAATTAATAGAATTTTGTAACTTAAAAAAAACGCTGTGGGATTTGAACCTGCAACCTTCCGATTCAGAGTTAGCAGTCCACACCTCTCGACTACCACCATTTCACACCGTACACTAGTTTCGAATTAACTATAAAATTTAAGTTGACTTCAAAATTAATGAAATTTTGTAACTTAAAAATACGCTGTGGGATTTGAACCTGCAACCTTCCGATTCAGAGTCAGCAGTCCACACTACTCGACTACCACCATTTCACACCGTACACTAGTTTCGAAATTAACTATAAAGTTTTAGTTAACCTCAAAATTAATAGAATTTTGTAACTTAAAAATACGCTGTGGGATTTGAACCTGCAACCTTCCGATTCAGAGTCAGCAGTCCACACCACTCAACTACCACCATTTCACACTGTAAACTAGTTTCGAAATTAAGTATGAAGTTTAAGTTGACTCAAAATTACTAAAAGTTTGTAACTTAAAAATACGCTGTGGGAGTTGAACCTGCAACCTTCCGCTTCAGAGTCAGCAGTCCACACTACTCAACTACCACCATTTCACACCTTACACTAGTTTCGAAATTAACTTTAAAGTTTAGGTTGACTTCAAAATTAATAAAATTTCGTAACCTAAAAATACGCTGTGGGATTTGAACCTGCAACCTTCCGATTCAGAGTCAGCAGTCCACACTACTCAACTACCACCATTTCACACCTTACACTAGTTTCGAAATTAACTATAAAGTTTAGGTTGACCTCAAAATTAATAAAATTTTGTAACTTAAAAATACGCTGTGGGATTTGAACCTGCAACCTTCCGATTCAGAGTCAGCAGTCCACACTACTCAACTACCACCATTTCACACCGTACACTAGTTTCGAAATTAAGTATAAAGTTTAGGTTGACCTCAAAATTAATAAAATTTCGTAACCTAAAAATACGCTGTGGGATTTGAACCTGCAACCTTCCAATTCAGAGTCAGCAGTCCACACCACTCAACTACCACCATTTCACACTGTAAACTAGTTACGAAATTAAGTATGAAGTTTAAGTTGACTTAAAATTAATAAAATTTTGTAACTTAAAAATACGCTGTGGGATTTGAACCTGCAACCTTCCGCTTCAGAGTCATCAGTCCACACTACTCGACTACCACCATTTCACACCGTACACTAGTTTCGAAATTAACTATAAAGTTTAGGTTGACCTCAAAATTAATAAAATTTCGTAACCTAAAAATACGCTGTGGGATTTGAACCTGCAACCTTCCGATCCAGAGTTTGCAGTCCACACCTCTCGACTACCACCATTTCACACTGTACACTAGTTTCGAAATTAACTATAAAGTTTAGGTTGACCTCAAAATTAATAAAATTTCGTAACCTAAAAATACGCTGTGGGATTTGAACCTGCAACCTT